GTACTCTGACTGTTGTTTGTGCCTATGCACCGAACAGTTCATACATGCAGTTCAGAGTATCTGGCCTTCTTGGAGTCCTTGGCAGGGGTGCTGGAAGGTGTGCCAGCTGGTGACTCCTTTATTCTGTAGGGGATTTTCAATGCCCACGTGGGTAATGACAGTGTGACTTGGAAGGACGTGATTGGGAGGAACGGCCTCTCAGATCTGAACCCAAGCGGTGTTCTGTTGTTGGACTTCTGTGCTAGTCATAGTTTGTCCATCACAAACACCATGTTCGAACATAAGGGTGTCCATAAGTGCACTTGGCACCAGGACGCCCTAGGTCGTAGATCGACGATTGACTTCATAGTCGTGTCATCTGATTTGTGGCAGTTTGTTTCGGACACTCTGGTGAAGAAAGGAGCTGAGCTGTCAACTGATCACCACCTGGTAGTGAGCTGGATCAGATGGCGGGGGAAGATTCCTGACAGACCCCGGTAGACCCAAACGTGTAGTGAGGGTTTGCTGGGAATGCCTGGCAGAAGAACCCTTCAGAGAGATTTTCAACTTGCACCTCCAGGAGAGCTTTAACCACATCCCAGCTGAGGGACATTGAATCCGAGTGGGCCATGTTCCGCGCCTCGCTTGTTGAGGAAGCTGCCTTGAGCTGTGGCCACAAAGTTGTCGATAGGGCTTTAACAGACTACTCGAGTAATCTACACATCGATTCCTAGGACACCTATCGAGGTTTTTAATTTCATGTCGAGTATTTGTGGTGACGTCATTACGCTACAGTTACATCATCGCGTCACATGTCACGTGATCTGCACCAGGCGTGGGTTACAAAATGGATTCCTCCCAGCAGACAGATGGAGCAGAGCAGACCCAGTCTTGACAAACGGGTAGAAATGCATCATTAGTCTGGAAATATTTCACTAAAGATGAATCTTCTGGTTCAACTACCGTAAGGAAACAGAAGATGAATCAACTTCCCGACTGTTTGGAGCTCGTTGTGAACCGGTGTTACACCATATTCTGTGACCACTGTATACTGTGACCGTAGGGGGCGGTGTTGCATGCACTGTTGCAGGTCACAGAATATGGTGCAACACCGGGTCCACTCGACCGAACCAGAACCAGCTTCCTCTGACCTTGTTTCACAACAAAAAGCAAAAAATATTGATCTCTAAAACTAAACTTAATGCACCACAGCTAGCAGTGGTGTGGGGTGGTCGACCCCCCACTGTTTTTAGTTT